TAAACTTTATCTTCTTTCATGTTATTCCACAGTAATTATTTATTCTGATTCTTTGCCCTTGGGGAGGTTAGAAAAAAAGGTCTTTCTCTCTAGCCCCAAACTTTCCAAAAGAGCCTCAATTCCTCTCCCTCAGATCAGTCACTGCTTAAAACTCTGCAAGGGGAGGAAAAATTCCTCCCTCCATCAAAGGGCTTTCTTCTTTATGCCAAATTAGTAGCTGTAGCTGCTTTTTTACAGGTAGTATAGAAGAAAAAAAGATAAAAATGCTCACCCAGCAGGACCAATGAACTTTCACCTAATTATTCTATGCTAGTGTCCCGGCTGTCGATGGCTTGTAGGGAGCTGATCTCTCCCGTGTTGTCTGACTGAGAAAAGCCCGAATTTCTCCCAATAAATACGGAGATGCTGCCCCACACCAATTGGAAGAATGCTTGAACAATCTACTCTTCACCCCGACAGGGCTTAGATGAGCCTCCCATGGCTCACTATTGAACAAATACCAGCGTGATAATGGGAGCCCCCACTCTGCACAGCCGTACCGCCATGACGCCAAACTGGAATTCCTGAACTGAGGCCTATTGTTGTTGGAGGGTGGTTGGGCATTGGTGAGCCCTTAGAGATCCCCCCAGAGATGCAGGCATTGGTGTTGGGGAACAGGCTGGTGGCAGGTCAGTATGAGACTGGGGTGGATTTTGCCATCTGACATAGACCCTCTAGCCACAGGGTCAGAATGATCAGGAGTGGATGAAGCCGAGAGGGCGATCCGTGGAGACCCCAGTAGAGTCACTTGTGTGACTGACTGAATGGTAGGTTCAATCTGAGCCAGGATCAAAGCAGCAATCAGGTACCAAAGGTGGAGTGGACAATTCCGTGGGAGGCACTTTAGGATGCTTCTTGTGCCTAAGTTCCACCTTGTCAGGCTTGTCCTTCTTAGGTCTTTTTGACACAGGGGACTTGTCGAACCCGACATACTTCCTCTTCTCCTTCTGCTTTTGGGGAGAAGAATGAGAGGAGCGCTTCGCCTTCTTGGAAGTAGTACCACTGTCAGATGGATGAGGAGTAGCGGCCTTGGATGGACCTGCCGCAGAGATATCCGCTGAGACCTTCTTCATAGCGATCAGAGCCTGGTCTCAAAGCATTTTCCACATTTTTCCCAGTACTTGCAGGCCTGCCTCATAAAGGACTGGCAATGGCCACATTTATCAGTCCTGTGGCCATCTCCCAAACATAGAAGGCACAGGTTGTGAGGATCAGTGGGGGACATTTTAGCCCTGCACTATGAACACTTGCAGAAAGCCACCCACTGAGCCATTGAAGAAGAGAGAGAAAAAGGAAAACAACAAAAGACAGAAGAATTTAACAAGAAGAATAACAATAGAAGGGTTTTTTTATTATTTTATTTTTTGAGAAGGGGAAAGGGGTTAGGAAAAACTTTGCAAATGGGGGGAATGGATGGTTTATAACTTGAATGAAGGAACAGAAAGAGAGAAACTGTAAAGTCAAGAGAAATAACAGTAAAACTTGGAATATAGCTATGAGAGGCAAGTGAAAGGCTCGAGGCACAGTGAGCAGCAGTCGCAAGAAAACTGGGGAAACGGTGGGCACTCCATCCATTTATACTATGGAGGGGAGGGTACAGAGTTCCTGCCAAAACTGTTAAAGTTGTTTAATCTTCCTGGCAACAGGCACTGCGCAGCGCAGCACCCATAATGTGTGATGCACAGAGGCCACAATGAAGAATTAAAGGTTCTGCCACACATACATCAAGTTATTTATCAACCAAACATTGGCATTCATTTTATTTTTTCATGTCATGAAAATGGCTCTGTTCATGCTTCTGAGCCATGAAAATGACTCTGCTAATGACTCTGCTTCTTGAAATTCCTAGACTTTCAGTTCTTATTTCTCCAAGTATTTCTTAAAAATATATTTGCAAATATAATAACAAAATAGAAGGAACGAAACAGAAACATAAAAACAGAGCACGTCATAAGGGCCCCACCAGCCCATCTAGTCTGATCGCAGGCTCCAGCCAGCTCCTCTCATGACATGCTTACTATAGAAGGAATGAAAGGAAAGGAAGGAAAGCTGGAACCACAAAAGAAAAAAAATATGAAAAAGATCATAAGATAAAGCATATCCATGCACATTAATCATTTAGGGTGAACACTATCCAGATGACTGTCAGCTTCTAAAATTGAGGTGATCTTCACCTTCTCATTCCTCTCACTCTGCACATTTGGTGTACAGATGCTTTTGGCTATATAGCTGGGATGCTTCAGAAGCAGAGAGAAAACTGAACAGGATACCTTGTATACTGGCCTCTGCAGAATACCTTTTACCCTCACCTTGATCCTTCCCTGAAATTGAGCTACCAACTTTGGAGAGGGAGCTGACACAGTTCCTTCTCTACTCACCGTGAAGTGGGGGAGGGCAATCAGAGGTTAGATTCCCAGCTACCAAGCCAGAGGTTTGCCTTCAACCTTGACTTTGACAAAGTGCCTCATAATATCCTAATAAATACATTAGCAAAATGTAGGCTTGCCAGGCGGAGCCATAACTGGATTCAAAATAGGTCACAGAGAGTGATCATCAACAGTAGCTTCTCAACCTGAAGAGAAGTCACTAGTGAGGTATGACAAGTCAGTCCTGGGACCAGTACTCTTCAACATCTTTATTCCTGAACTTGATGAAGCAATCCAGGAAACAATAATTAAATTTGTGGACAACACTAAACTGGGTGGAATAGCAAACACCCTGTAAGACAAAAAGAAGATCCAGGGAGACCTAGACAAGCTTGAACACTGAGTGGAAAACAACAGAATGACATTCAACAGGGACAAAGGCCAAGTTCTCAACACAGGAAAAAAAAATCAGCTGCATCAATACAAGATGGGAAATACTTGGCTCAACAGTACTGAGAGTGAAAGGGACATTGGAGTTGTTGTAGACAACAAGCTAAATATGAGCCAATAGTGTGATGCAGACACAAAATAGGCAAACACTATTTTGGGATGCATAAATAGAGGTATTACTTCCAGCAAAAAAGAAGCATTCATTCCACTCTACTCTGCACAAGCTAGACCCTTACCTGCAATACAGCATTCAGTTGTGGGCACCCAGGTTTTAAAAGGATGCTGATAATCTGGAGAGGGTTCAGAGACTGAAAGAACTGGGCCTATTCAGCCTTCAGAAAAGAAGACTATGAGCTGATAGCACTCTACATGTACCTCAAAGTCTGTCACCAAAAAAGGAGACGACCTCACTCATTCCAGACTAGAACATGGAACAATGAACTTAAGCAACAGTTCACCAGATGCAGGCTAAACACAAGGAAGAATTTCCCAACTGTACGAGCAATATGACAGTGGAACTAGCTGCCAAGTGTTGTGCATGCATGTTCTGGAAAACTTCAGGGGCATTCAGGAGAGACCATTTTGGCTGGACTGACAGCTCAGGTTCTGATAATGAGATGACTTGAAACCGACTCAGCTCCAGCTATAGTCCAAAGTCCTTGGATACCTGCCTCTGCCTGCTATGGGAGAGATTAGTTCAAGGGCAGTTGTGGAGCCCAGTCAACCTGCCTGTGGGAACAAGGAAGAGCAACAACATCCTGAAGGGGGAGATTTAGAGATGGGGAGTCTATTGGATGAGGAACTCCAGTCTCCTGAAGAGGTAGACCCAAAAGTCCATCACCACAGTCATAGGGTGACCCAATTGGGACCTAAGAGGGAGAAGCAAAGGCATGCCTAGTTCCACAGAGCTCCTCCCCCCAGGAAAAGGCACAGAAGGATTCATAAGCAAAGCTTTGGCTGAAAAAGGCCAGGGAGGGTTCACTTTGTATATCAGAGATTTACATGTAAAATAAAGACATTTAGCAAGAATCACTAGTGAGACTGTTACTGTTGAGAGGGAGAACTGAGCTCACAACACCAAGAGAGGTTGTGTACTCTTCCACACTACAGACATTCAAGAAGCAAATAGTTATTTGAGTGGGATAGTCAAAGTGGCATTCTGCATCAGCAGGGGGTTGGACTCAGTGGTCTTCTTGGCTCCTTCTGACCTAATTATTCTATGATTCTGTGATTCTTACTACATAAGGTAATATAATTACTGTGGTGATGGCATGTCTACTCAAAAGTGAGCTAAAGAGGGACAGGAGAGAGAAAATGGGAGGCTACAGGAAGGGAGATAGGGGAAAATAACAGAAGAATAAAGAAACAGCATGGCTAGAGGTTGGGAACAGAGAGGAAAAGCCAGGAAAAGAGGTGAGGAGACAAATAGTTAAACAAGAGGCTGAAGGGAGAAGAAAACTGCAAGGAAAGGGGGCAGAGAATGAGCAAGGCTCAAGACTAGCAGGGGTAGAATCAGAGAGCTAAAGAGGTAAAGAAATAGCAGTGTGAGGGATTGTTGGGGAGGAACAAATAACAGGAAAGGGGGTATATAAGAGAAAAAGAGCAGGGCTGGAGGCTAGAGAGTGAGAGAAGGAAGACTGTCATAACATTTTCCAAAGTTTTTCCTTTGAACATTTTTTTTTTGAAGGGGTAAGGAGCGGAGATCTTTATGGGTACCACTGGGGGTCTCCACAGGTATCATGGCATTGTGGGGGGTGCTGGAATATAGAGACAAGAAATAAAATCCATGGAAAAGAATTATACGTTGAATATACATGTCTACTCTTGCAAAAACTGGCACGTTGCTTTGTTTTCTTGGACATTCTGCATTTTTTTTAATGTAATGTGTTAACTGGGAGAGCGGAGAAGTAGATGCAAATGTGACTTCATCCAACAATTTTGAACTGTTATGGCTCAGTGATTTATTAGTTTTTCTGAAATTTGGGACTTCTCTACACCAAGTAGATTCTCCTTGCTAGCTTTAAGGACTGAACATTGAAAAATAAATCACTTTAATGATAGAGCCATTTTTTGCACCATAATGTCAACAAAGAATTGAGACAATTTGATTATTTTGTCTATCCCACTGGATTCTAGTAGTCTCACCTGCTAGCTGCAGAGCTGTCTATCCTCTCTTTTGGAAGCTGCTGCTCTGATTTCCAAGTACAGAGTAAAACTGCATAACCACATCCTGGCTGGGACACCATCATCTCAGGAGCACAATCAGGACCTGGATTTACTGACAGGCTATCCACCTGTTCTAGCCAAAAAAGAAAATGAGATAAGTAAGCCAGTTAAAGGTATAATTTTGCATTAATTGGCTGTCCAGCCTTCTCATCTGCAGAACTCACTAGTGTAGTAATGGCCATCAATTTGGATACTTAGGGCACACACTTAGCACTATATGTAATTTTTCTATAAAGACCCATGGTATCTTTTTCTTTCTTTTTCATGTTACTTTTTGCCCCCCTTTATCTTTAAAAATAAAAATAATTTTAAACATTGGATAGTTAGAGGGTTTGGACAAATTCACAGAGGACAAAGCTATCAATGGTTCCTAGTCAACTGCTATTGCACTCCTGCCCTACTTGTGGGTTTTCCACTGGAAGCTGGTTGGTCGCCAGCAAGGCTCTTATACGTGCATGTTCTCCACATACCCCCTTGATCCCATCCCCTTCCTGGTTGCTAATTCCCTCACTATCGACCTTCAGGTCCACCACATAATCAACCTGTCTTTACTCTGGCTCCTTTCTCACTGTATCACTGCCTCATTCATTTTAAAGATCAACAACCCATTGTTGTCTCCCCAATTACTACACTTCATCTCACAGATTCTTCTTGTTCTTCTGTCTCTTTGACTTTCCCTTATCTAATTTCACTCTTGATTGTCAATCTGATTTGTCTCCTGAACTCCCCTGAAATGGTCCTCTCAAAAATAATCAATAACTACTTCTTTAAAAAGTCTAGAGGCCTGTGTTAATTATTCTTCACCTTTCTGCTACCTTTGATACATTTCACACTCTCCTGCTTGACTTGCTATATTCCATAAGTTATTATTCTATCCTTATATCTTTTAAAATTTCCCACACATGGAAGCTTTTTCTCTCTGTTCTTCTACATCACTGAGTAACCACATGACATCTCATTGCTTTCAGGAAAATATATATGCAGATGAGAAACAGCTGACTCTACTCCTGAACTGTCCCCCTTATTCCAATATTGCATCTCCAACTGCCACTGATTATTTCCACTTTGATATTTTGCCATTATCTCAAACTCAATGGATATGTTCATACCTAATGACAAGCCATGGTGGGAATGGCTTATGTGTAAATATAGCAAGCATGGTCAAATGTGGCCCATCTGGTTAGCACAAATCTTCACAGAGAGAGGCAGGTTGCTTACCTGCAACTGTTGTTCAAGTGGTCATCTGTGCATTCACACTTATGGGCTTTAGCGACGGCAGAAGGCCCAGGTCGGAAGAAACTTCAACAGTTCAGCATCATGGAGTGGGCAGGGTCCCCACCCCCTCTGGAGTCCAGTTAAGGGGAGAGGGCCTCACCCAGCCCCTCAGTGCCTTGGAGACTGCACCATCTCCAGGAAGTCATATGGACAGAGTAATAAGCACAGTGGTGTGCCAGCTGACAACAGCCAGCAGAGTGAAGGGTGGTTTGTATGAATGCACAGAAGACCACTCAAAGAACAACAGTTATAGGTAAGCACCCTGCCTTTCTTCTTGGTCTCTGTGCTTCAGAGGTATGGGTGACTGGCAAGTTTACTCTGCTCCCAGGATGGAGGAGCTGTCATCACTGTAAAACTGATGAGAGGACCGCCCTGTTGAAGGCACAGGACTGCCTTGTCTTCTATGAAATGAAAGGTATGGGTGTCGACTCACAGTGTTGATGGTTCACTTTCGTGGTGGACATATGTGACAGTGACCAGGAACTCTGTCTTGCAGGATAGGAGTCCCAAGTCAACCATCACCATGGGCTCAAATGGCTGTTTGGTGAGGGATGGAAGAACCACCAAGAGCTTCCATAAAGGTATGCAGGGGTGGGCAGGGTGGGTGAAATTTGGAGTTCTCAGAGGGACCAGCAAGCCAGGGGGTGTGGGCAGACAGGCAACCCCTGGGCTGAAGGATGGAAATACAAGAGTTATGAGATGAGCTTGTGGAAAGAGGGAAAGGCACCCATACTAGAGCAGGTCTGCAAGTAGGGTGGTATGTGTTCTCCAGGGGACTCCATAAGAGGAAGTTATGGTGCAGTAGTAGGTGGAGGAAGGTCCTGCTGGGAGAGGAGAGTAGGAGGGGGAGTCGTGGCTGCCTGAGCTGCCATGGGATTATGTCATGAGCAAAGCCGGCTGGAGCTGGGAGTCAGACTAGGTGGCCTGGAAGGCCCCTTCTGACTTGTTGTTTCTACGTCTCTCTGGATTTTGGCAACTGCTTGGGTAATCAGTGAAGGGGAATGGAAGGTGTAGAATAAGGTCCCTTCCATCTCGGGGAGAGTGCCCCAAAGGAACCAGTCCTTCATCCTGCCCTGGAGCAAAAGGGGCAGTACTTGGTGTTATGGGGGGGGGGGGGTGACAAAGAGGTCTATCTTGGGCTTGTACCACCTATCACAGAAGTCTTGAGGGGGACTGTTCTGTTGAGCTACCACTAGTGTGGTGTCAGGAAAATGGCTCAAGGTGTCAGCCAGGGCTTTGAACAGATTAGATTTCTTTGAACGGGGACTGGTTCCCTGGTTCAGGGGGTCTGCCAGGGCATTCATGCTACCTGCAACATGGATAGCGGTGATGGTGATGTCTCTCTCAATGCACCACTCCCTGATGTCAGATGCAAGGGATCAGAAGCGGACACAGCGAGTTCCACCTGTTTAGAAAGTACATGACGGTGGTGTTGTCTCTGTCGATCTAGTTGTGGTGGCCCTTCAGGGAGTCCAGGAACAAAGTGAGTGCCTTGCCCACTGCCAACATCGCCAGCAAGTTGATGTAGAGGTGTGCCTCATCTGGGCTCCAGTGACCCTGTATGTGCATGTCCACACACTGGGCATCCCAGCCTGTGTTTGAGGCATCCATTATGACAGTGAGGGAGGGTTCTAGTGGGAGGAAGGGCATGCCAATGGTGAGGTTGTGAGTGGTGCCCCACCAGCAGAGGGAGTCTCTGACCACAGGAGGCAGAAGAAGTAGGGTGGTGTGGTGGTTTCCATCCACTGCAAATACTTCTGCAAAACAGAGCAGAAGAGGTCTCATCCAGAGGTGTGAGAGCTGGAGCACTGACATCATGGTGGCCATGAGCCCTAGAAGCCTCAGGATGGTGTGCATGGTGGAGCGTACCATGGTCCGCTTCTGTCAGAATGCTTCTGTTTCTCCTTTTGTTTGAGCGAGGAGTGGGAGGAGCAAGAGGTCTCCTCGGAAGCAACTCCCCCAGACGATGGGCAAGGAGAGGTCACCATAGAAGGGTCAGACAACATAGGCTGGGCGGCGAGCTCGTCGGAGGCTAGTAAGGCCTGATCCCAAAGGATCTTTCTCAGTCTGTTCTCTTGGTTTTTCCTGGCCTGTTTAGTGAAGGCCTGGCAGTGCCCACATTTGTCGGTGCGATGCCCCTCTCCCACGCAGAGGAGGCAGAGCTCATGTGGGTCCGCTGGGGACATTTTGGCCCCACATTTTGAACACTTTCGAAAAGCCACACGCTGAGCCATCAAGATAAGAAGAGGGATAGTAAAGGTAAGAAAAAAGGAGATATTAACTGCTTTTTTTATAGGAAGGTGTAAAGAAAAAACAGAATTAACCGGGAAACAAGGGAAAATAACTTGGATAGATTCAACTGGAAATATGAAGAGAACAACAATTAAGTGTGAGGAGACAGAGTAATGGCTCAAGGCAATGTGATCAGCAGTCGAAAGAAGACTGAGGAAAATGGCGAGCGCTTCGCCCTATATAGCACCAGGGGGGAGGGGGGAGGGGTGCGGAGTTCCCACCAAAAACCGTTGTAGCTTGGGTATTCTGGCCAACAACAGGCACTGCGCAGGCGCAGTACCCATTATGTGTGATGCACAGAGACCAAGAAGAAGAAGGAATGTGTTCTATTGCCCTTAGGCCAGAAGAGCCTGAATTTCTGACAGGAAAGCTGGGGAGAATGGCGTAATCTTAATGTGGCCTAAAGGTGGAAGAGCGTCAGATTCTATCCTGTATCCATGGAGGAGGATGGAGAGGGTCCAGGAGTTGAAGGTGGTGTCCTCCCATGCTATGAAGAACTGTGACAGGTGGTTGAAGTTGTGGGGAGTGGGGGCTGGGGCTGCCTGGACCAGGATCTCAGCACCTATTGCCTAGGGTCCTGGCATTTAGGCGGGAGGCACTGGTGAGGCTGAGAGTCGCACCTCTTGGCAGGAAGTACCAGATGGAAGCAAGGGATCCGCTCAGGAAGGGCATGGTGGGTAGGGGCCATGTGGATTTCTTGCCATTTAGGCTGTTGGGTGTGCTGGCCAAAGCCCATATGTTTGGCTGTGGTGTGGGCCTTATGGAGAGAGTCCGTGTTTTCATCTGTGTATGCATTAAAAAGTCACTCCCCATCAAAGACCAAGTTCTCAATGCGAGCCTTTGTTTAGGAGGGAGGGAGGCAAAACCAACCAGGCACGGCAGCGAAGCACAATGGCACCCATCATTGCCTTGCCATCGCAGACGACATGGTGTCAGGCTGCTTCAATCTAGTACCAAGATAGTTTTTCTGCTTCCATGAGTATGAGGGGCATGGTATCGCGGAGAGCATCAGGTAGCTGTTCCGCCACTTTGCCCAAAGGAAAAGCTGGTATCTGGTCATGGTGGCCTCATAGTTGGAGACTCTGAAACCCAGGGCGGTGGCTGCGAAGACCTTCTTGGCCATGGTGTTACAGTGTGCATGGGTTCCTGAAGGCCTAAAATCCCAGAAGAAAATGGAAACTCAAGAAGCTTTACGGGACTGACCAGGACTGAGTATTTTTGCAGCAAAACTGAGAGGCCAGGAGTGGTTGGAGAATGAAACATAACAGGTAAGTCCACACTGTACCATCCAGAGAGAATGGAATGTGATGAGAGTGTGTGCATTCAAAATAAAGACCAGAATGTTCTGTGTTAGCTCTGCTCAGAGGAGTTCACTGTTCGATCCAGTTGGACTAAGCTGATAGAGTCAACTTTAAGGTATAAAATGATTGGGCTTTCCAGCTCCCGTGTGTGCCAGAACAGCGCTGAACTGGTCATCCACAATCCTGCCACGACTGATCACTGCTGGAGAGGGTTCAGGCTGTGAGTGAGTACTGAGTGAATGCAAGTGTGAATGAGGCCTCTTGATATTGATGGTGATGATTGCTGAACTTGTATTCTTAACTTTCTGTATTCTTTATATCATAGAATAAATGTTACATGCATAGTGTCTAAAACCAGATCTGGCGTTCAGTCTCTCTTTGATAAGGGTTTTTCCTTGGAAACTTGATAGACTAAATCAAGGACTGCATTATGGTCACAATGGCACCAAGGCAGCAGCCCTCCTTATCTACAGGCTTGGACTGGTCTCATTGGGGGGTCCCTTGCATTGACTCCACTATGATGGAGTTTGGCTTAGGGTGCTAGAGAAGGGAGGGAAAGGTTTTGACCACCACCTTATAAGTGGTGTCTACCCTACATGAAGTGGCCAATGTACCAGCTGGGGATTTCCAGATCTGCTGGGCTGTGTGCAGCAGTAGGGTAGGGCAGGGATGGTCACTGGCACAGTGTTCCCTGAAACCAGGGCATTGAAGACCACATCGGCCTCGGGCTCAGATGGTGAGAAATTTGTATGCAGAGGTCGTCCACCACGTAGAGGACCAGATCAGCAAATCTGCCCCACTTCAAGTGACATGGAGGGATTCTGTTCTGTGGCCTGCCCATTGGGTGAGCATGAGGAGACTGAGGAGAGAGAGTGAACTGAGTCAGGGAAGAAACATAGAAACAGAGTAAGTCAGAAGGGACCTCCTGGGCCATCTAGTCTGACCTCCAGCACCAGCCAGACCTGACTCCTGAGGCAACGATTGGTGGTGGCGGCGGCTGTGGGCAGGGCATTCTGTGTCCCTGGAGTGATGGTGGCGAGGCAGTGAGGACCTGTAGGAGCAGCAGTGGTGACACATGCTCCAGGCATGGGTCCTGTTGAGGGAAGAGTCTGAGGACTCACCACTGGACCGGCATCATCATGAGGAGGCACACTTCCTATGCTGCAGGCTCCTGGTGTCACGGGAAGTTCCCCATGAGGCAAGGCTTGGGAGTGGTGAGATGACAAGGCCTGGGACCCTTTGGCACTGTGAGCACAATCCTGGACCCAGTGCCTATAACTCAGCTCCATGGGACACCACATGAGCACAAGTTTGGGGCTTCAACCATCCTAATGGGAGAGAGGCAGATGGGGTAGGCAGAAGCATTGAATGCTGGGATTGATTCTGAACTGCAAGGACTGATGGATACATGCCACCATTTTGGAGGGAAGAAGGAAGTGCACGGTAACTGTTCATGAGTAGGTACCATGCACACATGTGAAGGTGTGATACCATGCCATGCAGTGACTCTGTGGTTTAGTTTAGCTTTATGGGTGAATATATCCAATATGTTGTTGTTATACTGAGGCATGATTTTCCTTCCAAACAGAATCCCAGAAGATTATAGTCAACATTTGTTGCTGTTACATGCTGCCAAGTTGTCTTCCAGTTGTGGCAACGTCAATAATGCATGCCCTCCAGAATGACCTGTCTCTAACAGACCTGCTCAGCTCTTGTAAACTCAAGGCTGTGACCTCCTTTATGGAATTGATGCATCTCATATTACGTCTTCCTCTTCCTTTTCTACCTTAGCGTTTCTCTAGCATTGTCTTTTCCAGTGAGTTCTGCCTTCTCACAATGAATCTGAAGTACAATAGCCAGGGAAACTGATCTAGCACTCTCTTGTTCATCTTTCTGTCAGTGCAGGGTATTTGCAAAGTCCTCCTCCAGCACCATGTTTGAATGCACCAATTTCCCCCGTCAGGTTTCTCCATACACAGTGATTGTTGTGCCAAGGGGTCATGGTAGCCTCATAGTATAATGGTGTGAATGATTTTGGCCTCAGTCTCCAGGAAAATGTTCTTGTACTTGATTATCTTTTCAAGTTCCTTCATTGCTGCCCTTCCAAGTCTCAGTTTTCTTTTAATTTCTTGGCTGCAGTCTCCCTTTGAACTGATCACTGAGCCAAGGTATGCACAATCTCCCACAATTTCAATTTCTTCATTGCGATAATTAAAGTTGTATAATTCTTCTGTAGTTCTCATATATTCCAATGTGTTCTAATGGTGCTAAATAAATAAAAGACGGCTGTATTCCTTGTGAAGATGCAGATATGTAGTTTGGGAATACCCTTGGATTCATATGCCACTGGAAGCCCTGGTGATACCAGTGGCCCAGAGTGCACATTACTGGTGTATCAATTTTGCCCATTCTTGGATATGAACATCCTGACCACAGTGATCCATGCACTGGTAACCCGTGCATGGTATTCTATGTAGGAAGCTAGTGCCGAATGCAGCACATTAGGTTATTCAATGTGACCCCTGCTAGGGTCACATAGGACCAGTGTTAAAAGAAATAAACTGGCTCCTTATTAGCTACTGAACCATGGTCAAGATTATTTTATTGTCATAGAAAGCCCTTGGGACTACGATACCTAGCAGATTGACTTCCCCAACATAGCTAGCTGACCTTTAAGAATTTCAGAGGAGCCTTACAGGTCATTCTCTGTAAACAACAGAATGTTACTTCTTACCTCAGTGGTGGACCTTTTCTGTGGTTGTACCCACATTCTAGAAAACCCCTACCCCCATGCAGTTTGGGAGACACTGTATTGCTTTAAAATGTTATCTGCAATGTTTTGCTAGTATAATTTAAATGCACTTTTTATTATCTGTGCATGAACCACTTAGATATATTATTAAGTCAAGTTGTATAGAAGGATTACTAATAAATAGTAGGAAGACAGGTAGACATTTGAACTATATTGGGAAAAAGATTCATTTTGCTTCTTTAAACTCTGGCATGTGATAGGATGTGGCATTTCAATGGAATTCCTATGGAGTTCTGTATTATGGTGGTCCTGTTCATACTTGGCTTTTCTTCTCATACCTATGGCGCCCTTGCTTCTAAACTGCATTCTCTTACACAGATGATCGTACACCCAATTTCCTACCTGTCCTTCCAGCAGCCACTTTTTGAGCAGCACCAGCTGCCCAGATATATATTCTGAACTCTCAGATGAGTCCTCCCAACGAAAGGCACGCACCACACGGTCTGTATAACCCACTACCAGTTCACTCTTTCCATCTCCATCTGCAGGAAGCAAAAGTCCAATGCTTATATTTTGGGAAATTGCCACAATATTAAAAAGTGAGTGACTATATATGTACACAAGCAAGAGGAAAGAAAGGGAGCTAGAGAAAGAGGGAGAACATGCAAACAAAGAAAATCCAAAAGGAAACCAATTTGCGTAGCATGATATAAATGTACCCCCAAAGGTGATGCTTTAATCAATTAATCAATGGATGGCCAATTTTAATCAGTGCAGCAAAGACTAGGATGCACTAATTTTTTTAGATTATTTGGGTTTTATTGTACTACAGTTTATTGTGCTAGACAAATAGGAATTCCCCACAGGTGATAGCAGTGCTGCAAGTAAAAACATGCAATTTGAATAAAGGAGCATTTGTGTGTATATACATGAATGTGAATGAAGATCCAGACGTCTCTAGATTTAGATGTGCCCAAAGCACAAAACTGTTCCACAATCTACAGTACTTTCAAGAGGTTATATTTGACTCAAGTCTTCTTGAAGAAATACTACATCTGGGTTGTATCTTTTTAGTATAGCTAAAATCCCAGATGTCTTGCATATCAGCAGTCCATTATCCTTGTACAAAAACATTTCGGAATGCCTTGAAATACTGTTAACTCTGAAAATGAATAATTCTGTTTATAGGTTGGTCACCTTTTACTTGTTGATGCAATAGTGGTGCCTGTCTTAACAAGCCGGGCTGCCATATCCATCTCACAAAGTCAGAGTGAACCAAGATACCAGCCTTGTTTCACCTTCTTGCCAATGTACCCATCTTATGAGGCCAGGCGTATCAGTAAGCTCATGAGGCAAGCTGACAACTTGGAGCATCCTGACCACAAGAGACAGGTGCATTGGCAAGTTTGAGAGACAGGGCTGGCACTGTGGAGAGACCAAACCATCTCATGAGACAAACACATTGGTGGCTAACTTAGCAAGGTGGGAAATAAATGGAGTGATGAGGCAAGGCAGCAACAAGGTGACAGGGCGGGAATGGTGGAGGTGAGATGGTGCAGTGGGGTGGGCATGATGGTGATGAGATGGGAGAGATGGGCATCATAACAAGTCATTTCCAGCATGACTGGTTATTATGTGTGAACACAGCCACTGGTTTTGATAGCAATCAAAAAAGTGTGTGTGTGTGGGGGGGGGGTTCTTTTGAGAACTCTGGTCATCTCTTTATTTGTTTTTGGCATGGAAATATACATCCAAAAATCTGCACCATGCCATTTGAGAATTTTGGAGTGGCTCTCACTTCAGAGGCTACATAGAGTGATCTCCAGAAGGAAAGGTGGGGGGAGGGGGAAGCAGAAATAATGGCTGTAACCGCATCTTCTCTCTTCTTTTTCTCCTTCCCAATGGCACTCAAAGAGCTATTTCAGACATGTCCATTGGGTCCAGTGTCCATTGTCCTTTGTGAGAGCAAAGTACCCTCACCAGACAAGCTTCATGGCAGTGATGGTCGTGCCAGTCCTGTTCTCCAGACTTCAGATGTGCCAACTCCAGCTAAGGTTCAAGAACATTTACCAACCTCCATCCCATTCGAGCTGGAAATTTCTTACCATCCTGCACTTGGTGCAATTGAGCCTAACCTGGTCAACCAACTGACCTAATCTTGCCAAGGGAATCAGCTTCACACCACCAGAAACAACATCATGATGATGAACACATCAACTATCTCAAACTCCTGACAGTACCAAAGGCCCTTATTGCCTTCCAACCCATTCTTCAGAACTGTCATATGCAGCTCACCTCAGACAAAACTACTGTGGTGTTCTAATGGAACAATCAGGGGAGCAACAAGTCCAACTTCTTAACATCTTACTATGTACATCTGGGACTGTTGCATCAACATGGGTATCATGCTCACCTCCATCCATGTGGCTGGGATGGGCATTCTGAGAGTAGACTACCTGAATGTAGGAATACCAGAGCACAGGAACACAAGAAGCAGGAGGCAGGAGCTTGAGGTAGAGATCCCGTCAGAATGGGTGGGTGACCTGTTGGAATGGAGGTAGAGGCACTAGACCAAGGCAGAGATTCCATCAGAATGGTCAGTTCAGATGACTGAGTTGGTATACTAAATGAGACCATTACAATATCCACTAGGCTGTCAGACAGAGAGTCTGGATATCAGGATGGAGTATCTTTCCCTGAGCCCGAGACAGCAGGTCAGGTGTAGTTGGTAAATGTTTGAAAGTCCTGCTGGAGAGCCTCAGTATGGATGGGAACCAAGGTTGCCTTAGCCACCACAGCATTATCAAGATGGCCCATGTCCATTCCGTTCTCATCTTTGCTATGGTCCCAGTGATGAGTGGAAACAGTGGGAAGACATAGAACAAGGCTCCTGTCCAGGGCAGAAGAAAGGCATCCCCTTTTGAAAACTGTCCAATCCCAGCTCTTGAGCAGTAAGCATGCACATGGTAGGCATGTCATGAGCTGAGTCAGCTGGAGCCAGGCATCAGATTAGATGGCCCAGGAGGCCCCTTCTGGCTTACTCTGTTTCTAAGTTTTGCAGGCAGCATTCATCTGTGTGGCAAACAGATCCACAGATGGGATGCCCCATGATGAAAAGATGCTGAACTCAGGGGTTAAGTTCCCATTCGTGTGTCTGATACACTGTCTGGCTCAAAGTATCTGCAGTCACATTGTCTGTTCTGGCCATATGAATGGCTACTTCTGTGTTGGATGCACCATTCCCAAATATGAAGGATCAACCGTGTTGAGAGATGACCATTTTGTCCCACCTTGCTTATGTAGAAGACAGCAGTGGCATTTTGGGAGACAACCTGTACATACTTGCCAACTAAGAGTTTTTGGAACACCAGGAAGACCCTTGTAGATCGCTAAAGGCTCCAGATGGTTAATATGGAGTTTCTTTTCTGGACCAGTCCAGACCCCTTACCTCTGGTAATCATCAGAGTGGGCACCCCAACTGGTGAGGGATGTATCAGTAGTCAATGTGACTGTTGATTCCATCCATTCCCAAACAGTAGCCCTGTGGCGAGGCTGGGCTCGCATATCCACCAAACAAGACTCTCACATACTCAGAGTAGTAGAGTCAACATCTTCCTCAGCAAATCATACCCTAGCCAAAATGCTTTGTTGAACCATAGTTGCAGCGGGTGCATCCATAGTCTGATGAACTGGACCATCAGGATGGTTAATGCCATGTGCCCTAGGAGCTGCTGAATTCTCCAAACAGATGCTCTTGGGTTGATCCAGAGATCAGAAGCTGCAGCTATGAGTTTGTCCATTCTGTCTCAGGGCAGATATGCTCATGCTGACACTGAATCTAGGACCGCTCCAATGTACAGGATACTCTTTACAGGGGTGAGAATAGATTTTTCCAGGTTAATGCAGAGTTCCAATTCATTATGGATACTGCAAGTGGTTTCAATGGCTTGTATCACATTCCTTTCAGTGTCTGCTATGAGAAGCCAATCATCCAGATATGGGTAAATCTGAATTCCTTGTAGACACAAGTATGCACATCCCAGAGCCATACATTTGCCATGGATGAAGCCAATTTGGAAGCAGAGAGACCTAAACAGTAGGACTTTAAATTTGTAGGCTTCAGAGGAAGTCAATTTGGAAGTGGAGTAAAAGGGAGTTGTCAAAATGGATGCTTATACAGAAGTAAGCATCCTTTAAATTGATAGCAGCAAACCAGTCCCCTTTCTTCAATAGTGGCATTATGCTTTGGAGGGACACCATTCAGAACTTTTTAGGTATAAGAAATTGGTTTACTCCTCACAGATCCAAAATTGGCCACTGACCATCTTTTTTCAGGAATGGTAAAATAATGCAAATAGAAACTCCAATTAGCTTCAGATAGGGTTAATATTCTTAAAATGAGTATCGTAGCTTGGATTGTTTATGTGTTATGTGGAGTTTCTTTATATACACCTGGCAAATATGAGAGTTAGTGTGGTGCAGTGGTTTAAGAACGTCTGGAACTCAGAAGATTTGGGTTCTAGTTCCATTCAGCCATGGAGACAAGTGGATGACTTTGGGCTAGTTAGGCTCTCAATAAACCTACCTCATAGGGTTCTTTTTGTGGGGATAAGACTGACAGAAAGAGGAGGAGAATTATGTAAGCCCCTCTGAGTTCTTACAAAAAGAGAAAGGAAGGATAAAAATCTAATAAATTCCAATGAATTTTTCTATTTTTTTCTGGGGTTCCTCTCCATCATGAATATGAAAAAGACGTAACGTTCTATTAAGAAAGATAGGTTTGGCTTTCTTGCCTGATGTATATGTTTTCTTAAATTATCCACATGTTTCTTGGAAGTTAAAGCATGGCCAATGCCCTTTTTGACAGCTAAAAGACCAATACTGCAACACTGGAAAGATAACCATTCACTCCCTTTAATGTTCTTCCTATTACTGTATGAAAACATAATGATGTGTTCAATACTAAAACAAATGACAGAAGCATAGAATCATAAAATATTAGAGCTGAAAGGGACCAGAGGGCCATCAAATCCAACCCCCTGCTCAGTGCAGGACTCCAAGTTAAAACATCCATCTCAGACGGCTGTTCAGTTACATCTTCAAAGCCTCTAGTGTGGGAGAGCCTAGAACCTCCCTAGGCAATTGGTTCTATTGCCATACTGCTCTCATAGTCAGGAAACTCATCCTCATGTCCACATGGAACCTGGATTCCTGTAGCTTGAGCTCATTACTCCATGTCCTCCACTCTGGGATGATCAAGAAGAGATACTTGCCTTCCTCTTTGTGACAGCCTTTCAAGTAGTTGGACAGTGCTATCATATCTCCCCTCAGTCTTCTCTTCCCAAGGTTAAATGTGCCCAACTCTTTCAAACTCTCCTCACAGAGCTTTGTTTCCAGTTCCTGGATCTTCTTCACTGTCCTTCTCTGAATGCTTTTCAGCTTATTTGCATCTTTCTTAAACTGTGGTGCATAGAACTGAACTCAGTATTCCAAATGAGGGCCAACTAGTACTGAATAAAGGAGAACTAGTACTTAACATGTT